TTCCCGCCCCGTTCCAAAAATCAGGTTAATATCGAAGGTCTCCGATGGAGACCGTATCAGATATCAAGCTGATAAGAACAGAGTTAAAATGCTTTTAATAATAAATTCCAAAGAGAGTACATGTATGGGGTATAAAGTAGTGGAATAAACATGAGATGTATGTACATGTGATTATGTACAGCGCGACATGGGCACATAGCCAGTAGTGTATAATACAGTAAGGATAAATGTCGCGACATGGGCTCATAGCCTGCTAGTTTTTACAAGGGTTTTAAGAGAACATATGACTTACACGACACAATAAGGATAGATGTCGCGACATGGGCTCATAGCCTGCCAGTATTACAAGGGTTTAAAGGTACATGTGACTTACGCGACAAGTCATTAAGTAGACGTGCGTGAATGGTAGGTGATCATGGATTCAGTCCGTGCGGTTGTAACTGTTGGAGTCGGAGGTGCCGAGGTGAGTCCCGCTGATCGTGGGGTCTTGTTCTGTGTTGGTCATGGTGGTCGGAGGTGTGCCGGTTGGTGGTGGTCCTTCGCCGATGATGTTGGCCACGAGCGTTGGTTGCTGGTCTTCGGTGGCTGGGAGCAGAACGTCCGTAGTTTAGGTGTTGAACATATATTTCCCTACTCCAGCGGATACAGTCGCTCACCATGAGTTTGGCCATGGTCTTGGAGTATTTTCTTCCTATGCCTAACCGCTGGAGGACGGCGATGTTCCCGGGATCATATGCGCCCAAAGAACCAACCACAAACGCATCGCAATAGGTGTCGTATCCCATGTTTCGGAAGTGCTGCGCCAGGGGTGTGTATTTTTCAATCTTCTTGTCCCTGGCGGAGTTGAAAGCGTTGTGTCCGTTCTCAAATGGGATAACAACATCGATGATGGTGGCTGTCTTAGCGTTGTCATTTATAGCCATCAGATCCGGCCTACAATTTCCTTCGAATCCTGGTATGCGCTGATTACACTTGATGGTGAGATCTTCGTCGTTTACGGCTCGGCGGAGTCTATTGAGGACTGCGTTGTGCCGTTCGGTGGCGAGATGAAGATTGCGTGCGCAGTGATTTATTACATGGGCCAGCGTCTCCTGCTGAAATCCACAGTGGCGACAATTGGCAGGAAGCTGTCCAAAGCGGCGGAGACCATGAAGGGGTACCACACTGAGTCGGGCTCTGTGGATAAATCGCCAATCGGCGAAGGATGTGTAGAGCCCACTGCGTATAAAGTGGTTGCTGGCAGGATGTTGCGCCGTGAGTTGGAACGCCTTTCCCTGGTCAGGCTTCCGTAGGAGGCGATTCAGGAGGACGTTTTTCGCCATGTTTGTGAGGATTTTGGTGACTGACTGTCTGGGGATGATGTTCCCTGTTGTAGTGATGGCGATGGTGTCGTCGAAGACGGTCCATGTGATGTCAAGATGTTTCCGCAGGCGTCTTGTGGCTGAACGTAGGCGTGACCATGAGGACGAGATGTCGGCTGGGTCGACGCCAAACTCGCCTTCCATAGACCCATTGAGGTACGTGCACAAGTCCTCGAGTGAAGGGTCACGGCGGATACGTTTCCGGACTACACTTTGGAGTGACTTGATGGCGATGGAGCGTACCTTGTGGTCTCTAGATGTGAATAGGTGGGTGCCATGGGTGATCTGGCAGATGTCTGCCAGGGTGCCGCAGGGGGTGATGTTGGCTCCCCCGTGATCGTATGGTAAGTGAATCACTTCGGCACTGGCACGTTGAGGGAGGTTCAACCATCTTTTGGCACAGTTTTTAATGTGCCTGTCCAAGGTGCGTAGCCGCTTCTTGGGGTTGGAACCGAGTAAAAGGTGGAAGGTAAGCTTGGGCAACAACATAGTATTAATGGCATGGATCTTTTGCCAAGGGGCAAGTTTTGACTCATCCAGCTGCCGGATGTCCTTCTCCAAGTTGCTGATGACGTCCTCGGGAGTGTGGTGTGTGGAGAATCCTGTTGGTATGCCCAAATAGTCGTAGCTTCCGCTAGCCGACAGAGGTGGAATGTTGGTGCCTTGTAGATTAAAGATTTCATTGCCTATGCCGTGTTGTTTCCCTTTGACAGAGAGGGATGCGCATTTACCTGCATTAAAGCGCAAGCCTGCCCAAGCTGCCCAGTTGGTGATACAGTCAAGTTGTTTTTGCAGGCCCTCGGCGGTCGGACTTATGAGCACCAGATCATCCGCGTAGGCCAAGATGTCAATTGGCTCGCCTTCTAATGGGTAACCAAGCTGGAGATGTTGAATGTTTCGAACCGCAGTTTCAATGACGATGTTGAATAACAGGGGGCTCAATGGGCACCCCTGTTTGACCCCTGAGTGGATAGGTATATCGTCGGTGTACCCATTACTGGTGCGGATACGAGTGGAGCAGTTCTGCAGAAGGCTGGTAATGATATCCGTGCTTTCCTCATGTAGCTTACACCACTGTAAGCATTGAGAGATGGTGTCGTGGGGCACGGAGCCAAAGGCGTTGCTAATGTCTAGCCACGCAATATGGCATGATCTGTGCTTCCTCCTGGCATCTTGAATTATTGTTTGAAGGAGGAAGTTATGATCAAGACAGCCTTCATGTTGCAGAAACCCCTTCTGGGCGCTAGAAAGAATGTTGTTGCTTTGGCACCAGAGTAGGAGCCTGTTGGCTAAGCAGGCTGAGAAGATCTTGCCGAGAGTGTTAGAGAGGGCAATGGGCCTCCAGTTACTAACACTGCGGACATCACCCTTCTTGTGCAGCAATATTGTGTTGGATCTCTGCCAGCTCGGTGGGATAAATGAGGTGCGGAGCACAGCGTTAAAGACGCTGCTGAGGATTATCCCTTTCGGGTCAACCCTGGCCCAGTGATGGTATCGGAGACCATCTGGGCCGGGGGCAGTGTTGTGACATCGCCGAATTCGAGTGGCCACCTCTTCAGGAGTGAAAGGGCTGGCAAGTGGGTTGTTGGAGTCGAGATCCGTGCATGGAGGAGTTGCGGAAGGTGCCGACGAGTGATGATGTGAGTTATGGGCGTATGAACGTTTGAAATGGGTATAGAGTTCTTGCCCGTCAATGTGGCAGTAGTTGGGCTGCCCTTTAGTGATGCAATCGATGGCCTTCTTTCTGTTAAGTCTGTACAGTCTCTGGATACGTCTAGCGTCAGATGGGATGGAGGAGTAGGAGGGGGTATGGTCCCTCGGTTGGATGGTAGTCTCAGAGACTGAGCAGATGTTTTGTGCTAAGCTGACGAGGTCCTCGACCATGGCCTCAAGCATATCACCATCCGTGGCAACCTCAAAGCGGTGCTTCCAGTTAAGGACCCAACTGGGGATGGCCGACGGGTCTGCGGTGGAAGGCAGAGAGGTGGAATGCTGGTTGGTGCTCATGGGTTGGATAGGAGGCTGGTCGGAGTTAGAGATATGGTGGGCAGGGCTATCAACTGTGCGAGAGTTGTAGCTACCTGAGGTGCCTGAGCGGCCCTGAGGCGGGCTGCGGTGGTGACCATCATCTCGGACGTCAGAGGGTTGGCGCCTCCTAGGCCTTCTGTTGACGGCTGGAGGTTGGCTGGCCATTGGCGAGATGGGTGGACTTACTCCACGAGCAGCGATTTCGCTGTAAAGGGGAGCAGTATCGTTGGTGTAGCCCAGACCGGGGTTGGAAGGCCGGGAAGTTGGGCTGTAGTAACCTGAACCCTGGGGTGGCTGGGCCCTGGGTAGGTGGTCACCACTGGGCGAATTGCCCGTACTCCGTGGTCCAGCGTTCGTCATAGCGGCAGGTGAGGTATACTGAGATCCCATGTTTGTGCGGTTGTCGATGGTATGCTGGATGGAACGGGTGACCCTTCTGGCAGGAGGAGAAGGGGGATCAAGCGTCGGTGATGACATAGCGGAAGAGCATGATGATTGGTTGGTGGGTGCGGTAGGTGGAGTGGTATTCTGGCTCCCAAGCGTCCTGTGGTGGCTATTCCTCCGCCTGACCCGGATCCGCCTGATGCGGCGGTCGGTAGGTGGTGGCTGTGGAGGGGAGCAGGCGTCGATACTAGATCGGCAAGCCTCTGCTCTCCGCTGGTGAGCTTTCAGGGATTTCAGTTTTTCCATCACCAGACCGCAGGCACGGCACTCAAAGTGCAGGACAGTGTCGTGCTCTCGCTTCAAGTGCCTAACCAGCCCAGCATGATCTATATATTCACGTGGGATTGGTAGGCATAATTGGCAATGATGTGGCGGTTGTAACGGCACCAAGATTGTGGTAGTTGGCATACTTGGCCAAATGTGTAGTAAGGAAGGGGGGGAAGAAAGAGTGCGGAAATGCCCCCTGGGGTGCAAGGCAACCAACCAAGGAGGGGCGGGAAGGGGAAGAAAGTGGCAGAAGGGGTGCTTACGCAAAGCACCGAAAGGTCACCAACAAGCGTTGGCGCCGATAGGACAGTGTTGCCGGTCAAGCAGCGAATACACGGTGCGTTTAAACCGTGCAGGCCGCTCTTCCGGCGGAAGTAAGAAGAGAGTAGGAAAGAAAAAGAGCGTTCGGTAACTTACCCTATGGCCGGGGAGCAGATGGCTCGGAGTCCGGGCGGCGACCTGAAAAGAGAGTAACCAGCGGATTAATGATTAATCAAGCTGATAAGAACAGATACTACACATTTGATCTTAGCCATAAGGCCGAGAAGCGATAAAAAACACATCAAAGGCGCCGACGGGCCAAGTCTGGAAACGTACAATACACGTGTGGTGTGTCCAGGTGACGTCGATCGGCAAATATCCGTTAATACACACGAAAGAACGTCAGGAAACGATA